AAGGAGAGTACTCTAGAACACGGTAGCACCTTCATGGGCCGAAAAGAAAAACAAGGAGAAGCTCGTGGAGCCGAGCTGAAAAGCGAAACGTAACCAAACGCTCAGAGTATTCGAGATGCTTCAAGAGCAGCACCTGCGACGCTATAAGTACCTGAGCCTCAGTCCCATCGGTCTCCATCGGTCCATCCCAACTCAAGCCAGTGTCACGCAACAGCAAACAACATCCTTTTCCTACCTACGATCCGATACCGAATTTTCCGAGCGCACAAGCCAAACCAAAGCAAACACTGACGATGTCGATCGTGAGGCGGAGCAACGTGTTCGACCCCTTCGCCGACCTTTGGGCGGACCCCTTCGACACCTTCCGTTCCATCGTCCCGGCGATCTCAGGCGGCAGCAGCGAGACGGCCGCGTTCGCCAACGCCCGTGTGGACTGGAAGGAGACCCCCGAGGCGCACGTCTTCAAGGTCGACCTCCCCGGCGTGAAGAAGGAGGAGGTGGAGGACGGCAACGTGCTCGTCGTCAGCGGCGAGCGGAGCAGGGAGAAGGAGGACAAGAACAACAAGTGGCACCGCGTGGAGCGCAGCAGCGGCAAGTTCGTGCGGCGTTTCCGGCTGCCGGAGGACGCCAAGGTGGAGGAGGTCAAGGCCGGGCTGGAGAACGGCGTGCTCACCGTCACCGTGCCCAAGGCCGAGGTCAAGAAGCCCGAGGTGAAGGCCATCGAGATCTCCGGCTGAGTGCATGCGTTTGGACGTATGCTCATTCAGGTTGGAGCCAATTTGGTTGATGTGTGTGCGAGTTCTTGCGAGTCTGATGAGACATCTCTGTATTGTGTTTCTTTCCCCAGTGTTTTCTGTACTTGTGTAATCGGCTAATCGCCAACAGATTCGGCGATGAATAAATGAGAAATAAATTGTTCTGATTTTGAGTGCAGTGCAGATTTTGCGTACACAAAATTTGACCCTTTTTTGCTTGCAGTTGGGATGGATACACTGACCGGCTTTCTTCTACAGAAACATCGGTACACTGAATGTCTTCTGTCTCACATTCAGCTTTCATAATCGTGGGTCTACAATGATTCTGTGACTTCTATTCTGCCTCACCTTCAGTTTTCTTTGTTCTTCTTTGAGAAATACATTCAGTGTTCATTAATCAGTTATTTCTAGGACAGAAAGAGAGCAGAGACATGCCATCAGAAGCCTCTTAGATTTGAAGCCTCCCAGTGCGCCAAGAGTGGCCCTGTAAGGTTGTTAAATTCATAAATATATTTAAAGTTAATGAATATTTTTTAAGTTTGTGAACATTTTTAAATTTGCTTAGTTTATTTCAAATTTACAAACATTTTTTAAAGTATATTATATGTTTTTCTAAAAATCCAAGGGCTTTTAAAACCTTGAATATCTTTTGATTTAACAATTCTTTAATAAAAGAATGTTAGCCGGAGCGAGTGAATAAAAGCTAAGCAAATGAGAGCTAAGTGAGCGAGAGCTTCCTGGACCATGTGAACATTATAACAACAATTCCACGGTTTTAGCCTGGAGTAGATCATCTCAAGAGGCTCACACAACAACCACCAGCTAACACTCATGCCGTAACACATAAGGGCATCACTACCACACGTCAAACGACTCCCCTCTCATCTTAGAACAAATATCATCTATAATAACAGCCTATCACAATACACACAAAAATAACACTACCAGAACATAATTAAAATCCAAGTCAACACAGAGAAAATCAAAACAAAACAGCCGACTACCATAAGCTGCTAGAGAAAAAAGACAACAACGCCTTCGCGTGCTATAGCCTCTAAGTAAAACACATGGCAGCATGGATTTTGGACC